GCAGATGTGATGGTGGCAGGGAATTATACCTTTTGACTTAGGATGGAATCCACGTCAATGGGTAGTCTTTGAAGACCCAACAAAAATCAGATTTGGAACCCACAGTGTATAAGGAGGTTGAACATGAGACACATGAAAGACAACCTTTAAAATGTCCTGACCAAACAATGGGAGGCTAGTGGGCTTTGGAATAAGACTACAAGAGCCACGATTTGACCTAATGCTGATCCAGACCTGACTGCTAAAATATCAGAATTTGTTTCACAGAGTATCTTCTGGGGGTAAGAATTTCTTTCCTTGCACCAAGAGAGGTATGGGAATTACTGAGTCAGAGAGATGCCTGTCTCTTCAACAGCCAGGTCATTAAAGACAAAGCCTGTGAAGCAGGATGATAGACCAGACCTTTTGATAAGAGATCATGTCAATCTATGAGAGCCCACTGGGTGTCTACCAGCAGCTTGATCAGCCCAGAGTACCACATCCATTCCAAAACAATAAGTACAACCAGAATGCCCTTCATCTCGATGCTGTGGAGTAAACGCGGAAGGAGTTTATGAGGAGGAAAAGCATAGATAAAGCTGATAATGGTATATGACATTAGGAGGAAGCATTTTCTCAACTTCAGAGCTGGATTCCTGAACTGCCAGGTCAGCCACAATCTAGTTTTAGGTGTCAGGCATATGGTTTGTCTAAAGACTAAACTAGTTTGTTCTACAAATACAGAATTTTGTGTTGAAGGGGTCTGAAATTAAATTTAGTAAATGGGACTGCCGCTATAGTAGGCTAGCATCAATAACTCTTGTGCAAAATTACATCGAGTTAGACAGCTCCTTGATTGTAAAGTCAGAGTCTAAGAATGGCGCAGAAGAAGCTTTTCTTGAAGAAGAAACATTTTCATTGGAGCTGTATCTAAAATGAGGCCCGGTTCTCAAAGCAATGTGTCACTTCCAGTGTTTCTGGAAACTCAGGACTCAACCGAACCATTTTAAGGTTTGGACTGAGCACAATATATTGACTATCAAAGTTTGAGCTGACTGTTCCCATAATAAAGATCATCCAGGTATTCCTCAATGGGAATAACCTTAGAGTGTAGTATGACCAGCACTGAGGCTAGATCTTTGGTCAACACACATGGTGTGGACAAAAGGCCAAACAGTAGGGTACAAGCTCACAGTGTTAAATGTCCACAGCAAAGCGAAGGTAGCATTGATGTGCTGGAAAAATGGGGACATGCAAGTATGTATGTGTCCTTGAGTCCATGTCCACACCATAGGTGTTTGTGGCTCATATTTGTCAGCATTGAAAAGCTCAATGTAAGCCTGTAGCTGGGAAATGTACATGATTGCAGGTTTTTTTCATGAACAGGGGCTATATAAATAAATTATATTTCTTGTGTTGACCTTTTCATTGCTGACAAATAAGAGCCACAAATGCTTGTGGTGTGAACAGGGACTTATATGCACCTGTGCTAAAAAGTTTCCCTGATGGAGGGGGGCTATGGCATACTTTTGTGTTCAAATGAAGACATTTAGGTCCAGGATGGGGCAATGCCTCCTTTTAGTTTTGGAACAGTGAAAAAGGTTAAAGAAAAACCTCAGAAACTTTCTGCCGAGGGAAACATGGCAATAACCTGGAGGCACAGGCAGGTTGGAAAACATGAGAGTAGAAAGAGAAAGCTCATTGGATGACCAGCAAAATGTCTTCAGAAAAATACAGCAAGTCCAGTTTATTTATGTATGTATGTATTTATGTATACAGTATATACATAGTCATCATGTCCCCTCTTAATTGCCTCTTCTCCAGAGAGAACAAATTCAGTGCAGCTAATCTTTCCTCATAGCTGAGTTCCCCCATGCCTCTTATGAGTTTTATTTATATTCACCTCTCCAGAGTTGTCCTCTGCAGTAATTCCATTCCGCCACTTGATGTCCTCAGTCCTCCACTAAAAATTACACCCAGGGTCCCTCACCTTGGGAGACTAAGTATCGGGAGCTGTATGGGCTATTGTGAATAGCCCGTACAGCACCCCCTCGGTTCTCCTGAACCGAAGGGGTCCTGGGGCCGAAGCCAGCCGAAGGATCGGCCGAAGCTACGGCCAGATCCTTCGGCAGCTTTGTGAATAGACCCCATTGTGTAAGTTCAGGGTGCCATGGACTTCCAGAGTAATGATGCCAAGCGCTACATTAACATTGTCATATCAGTGCTGCTTTCTGTTTAATTGTCTTCTGTGTCCAGAATGGATGTTGTTTTAGAGAGAAGCATTTGTTGCCTTTTGTAAATAAAAAAAGAAAGGACCGTAGATGAGGAAGAGTCTAAGAAGAGTTATCTCCATGACTGACTAAGGGGTTTGCTTTAACTTTATTTATTCTGAAAATAGAGAATAGAAATCCTTTTAGATGATGATACAGGCTATGGTATGCCAATTTGACTAAATGTATCAATAGTTATTTTCAAATAAAATGCATCTTGACTTGCCTTCACTTATCATAGGTGTTTATATTTTGAAATTTATATGGCAATTTTTGAAATTTAAAATTGTAAACTGTAGACTTGGAAAAAAAATATATGTAAAAAATAGACAATCTTTTGACTGTAAAGGAGATTCTAAGAGAGTTTCTTAAAGGGAAAAGCTCAACCTTTACCCTAACAGAAAAACTAAATAAAAAACATGATCAATATGAGTATAATATACCTGTTTAATTACTGTTGCCGTTATGCAATATTCTGGTATTATTTATAACACATTTAAATAAGTTTAGTTAAATTACTGGAATAGAAATAGGTCACATGATATCTTCTTAATAATATGTTTTTGGCTATCAAAAAGTTAATGATGTGCTTCTGTTATATAATACCCCCTAACACTATTAATTGTGTTATATTACCTTGTTCATTATGTCAGGATGTGAGATTTAATGCAGCCACTTGAGCAATCAGAGGAAGAGTAGCTGTGCTTGCTTAGTAATATTGTTTCACTTTACAGAATGACTGGTCTTACAGATTTGGTAGTTTAAAGACTCTCTAAGCAGCTGTTGTGATGCCCCATGTGATCTCACTAAATGTTTCAGCATTTGTAACATAGATGAGTCTAAAATCTCTTGTAACTTTCCTAGAGCAATTATGCACAAAATGTGTCTGTCTTCCTTTCCTCTAAAGTATAATGATGTTGATGAACTCGTCACTTGATGCTACTAAAACCTAAGCCAAGGGAATTCACTAAAAGGAACTGGGAATAATAAATAGTATAATACCTTATTTCACCTTTAATTTCACTATGATCTCTTTAAGGGTAACATTAAATCATGTAAACAAATTGATTTATTTAAGAAGAAGTTCTTATACTGAAATAGATGGAACATTTACTGATACTTTTAGGATTTAATTTGTCTTACATATAGCTCATTTAGCTTATGGTCAGTCTTGTTTAATGTCTGTGGAAGCAGTAACTGCTTTAAAGAACCAATAAACCTAAAATGAAAGCTGATTTATTTGAAAAAGCTAATGCTGATTAAAAAATAAAGATACAAATACGTCTTTGCTAAGAATTCTGCTTGTGATGTGGGGCTGCTGTGAATCTTTAATGATAAAAATCCCAGTGGTATTTAAAGTATTGCTGGATTTAACAGTGAATATTCATTGCTTCAGACTGACATGGCTGTAGTTGTAGTGTGATGATGTAATTAAAGTGAACATGTACTTTGCCACTACTTCATTGCTTACTACCCTCCTAACTCTAAAACAAACCTACTACTTTACCTTGAATAGGCAAAGTACAGGTGTGATTTTAAGGGTACATTAAGGAGATTTATTTAGGAGTTCTAAAGTCATAGCATATAGTAACATATTATAACATCAGCATTGTAATAGGAATTCATAATCTAGTTGTTTTTGATTATGCCATCAAAGCTTATTTGAAAATATCCATTTTATATAGCGAGTGCTGCCTTTCACCTGCACATCACTTTCAACAACCTCCTGAATTTCCAGTGTGATTTGTGTCTCCTTCTCTGCTGCTTGATGTGATGCAGTCTCGATGTCTGAAGACTGCATAGCCCATGATGCATTGATTCCAGCAAGCAATGATAATTTTATTGTTAAGGTGTTGAATTGTGAAATTGTGTCACTGCATTGATGAAGTACGTGCTATGGGCATCCTCAATCAGCAAGTGTACAACTTGCAGTGTGGGAGTAGCCCCAATGCAAAGGTTAACATTATTTCTTTAGGGGGATTGTGGATTCTGAGGTGGTGATTCTCTAAATGTTATTATGCAATCACTAAATAATTACCATATTTAGTATGAGCCAATGGTGAGTGAAGTAACTGTTACAGTCTTTAAAAATGTATTGAAAACATATTTAAAAATGTAAAAGGTTATCTTATAAAAGTGTGACAGATATGCAGGTAATATACTTTTCAGCCTGTTAAAAATAAAGTGAATGTAAATTAATGTTACAGTAAGCACATATTTCCACTGAAGAGCAGATGTGAGCAAATCTTTTTAAATAAGTGAATGTTCTGGCAAAGGTGCTTTATAAATACAGCAAATGTTACTTGGTATATGTGTTCTGAAATGTACAAATACTTGCATTCCATTTAGGCAAATTTCACAGGAAATTTGCAGCAGGTTATAAGAGATCAGGAGATTTTATTGCTATTTACTGTTAGTTGATATTTGCAACAGCAATTTTATAATGTTACAGCAAACATAAAATCAAATATCTTAGATCCAACTTGCTATAAGAAAGTGATTTGATCTCTTGATATCAGTAGCTACACTATATAATCAAAGTAACATTTACACAGAACATATACTGTATTCTCCATACACAGAAACTGCATACTGCAAAGAATGTTGAAAAAATGTACATTCTGCAGAAATTATATCCTTAGGATGGGAGTGGTAATAGGAAGGATTTCTCAGAGGCGTGATCTGAGAATATAGATATACTATTGCAGGTTGTCCTGTTCTGCAGAGCAGGTTTCAACAGCCATTATTAGAATGTCAGAATTGGAGTTATACTTGGATCTTCTGTCCCAGCCATGCCGTTCGGTGTACCTGTTTGCTAAGGTCAACAACATCCCATTCCAGCACCATGAGATGAAACTTTTTAAAGGTCAGCAATGGTTAAATAGGGGTCATGATGGTTTAATTTGCAGTTGTTATAATACCTACAGAAAAAAACAACTCTTCTTATATAGCACAGTATTGCAAACGTAAATTCATGTTTTCTAATCCCTAATTAATTGCATCACAGAGAACAGATTGCCTTAGTGCATATGTATGAAACCACAAAAGAAAAATGTACTCTTCATTTATTTAAAGTAAATCTTAAAGTACTTTTTATTTTAAAAAAAATATTTTAATTGCTTGCACTTTTATTGTTTATTGTTAAACAGATAAAAGCAAATTACATGGAAATAGTGTAACAGAAGAACTTCTGATATACTGCTTCATACTTACTTATCTGTTAAGCTTGGCATTTTGCCAGTGGAACATAAAATCTTACTGTACAGCAGTAACAGCTGTGTTTAAGAATTATAATACTGTGAAAAATCCATGAAAATATCTACTGGGTACTTCACATTCGTCAAGCTGATGACAAGCCTCCCTCAGTTACAAAAGATAGCCAACTTCTTTGCTTACCTGGTGCATTTGAACATGACATTGGATAAATGGCAATGATCGGAAGCCCAGAGCAGAATTTAGAGTTTAGCTGTATTGTTTTTGCATGCTTGAAGTATTTTCCTTGCATCAGTAAATGTGAACTTTCTATCTAGGTACACTCTATATTTCTGAAAGTGTTTTGCTTGTATGTGAGTTGGAACAGGTTAATTACTAACCTGGGGGCAGCATCCAGTAGAATGCTGTGTAAGCAGCTAGCTGCACCTTTCCCATGTTTCTACACTAAAGAATATTTATCTTGCACTTTGCATTTAGACACTCCTTTATTGATTTTCCTCTCAAAATGTATCAAAAAAGGTATGCTTTTGTGGTGTGAAATAATTACTGGTACGTTTAGTGCATTTTAGTCAACGAAATGGGACTGTTTAATACATATTTGCTATACTAAAACACTCATAGATGATGATTTACTAAAGTTTGGTAAAGAGAAGTCAAAAGAACATGTGTTTACTTAAAATACCCAATCATATGAGGGATAAAAAAAAAAAAAAAAGCATTTACTTCTTTAAAGCCAAAACATATTTTTAGTGTTTGTTTGAAGAAGGGATACTTCTTCAAACAAACTAATCTACTTTAAGATTTATATTGCAAACTGTGTACTCTTTAGGGAGATTTCACTTAATTTTCTGACCTGGTAAACAAACAGGAAGCGATCCCTTTTGCAAGGACAAAAAAGAAATAAAATAAGAGAGGTTCTCAACCTTCCCTGCTTTACTTGGAAAAATGTTTTATTACTACCTGTGCTTCTGTTGGAAATATTTTGTTCCCTGTCTCATTGACCACACACAAATACATGTATATATTATATATCAATCACGTTTTGGCCAGAGTTGTACTTTGAATGATTGAGTTCACAACCAGGTGAGTCCCCTAAGGGGGTTTGTCAACAGGAATGCCTGAAACTGAATTTAGACTAATGTTTCTTAAGCAATTAACTAGGCCATTCTGTTGCCAGCTGTTTTTGTTTGTTTGTTTGTTATCCATTACTGTAATGTTTAAGAAACCATAATTACATTAAGTAACATTATCTACATTAACAGTAACAATATCTAAGCAATATGGCCTATGTTACTTTGTCTAATTAACATTATGCTTCAATAGGGGATCATCTAACTGAAAGATTTAAGAAGGTGAATCCACAGCACAAAGTACCTGTACTAATAGATGGAGAATTCACACTTGTTGAGAGGTAAAATAAATACATAATTTGAAGGAATATTCTACAAAAAATGGTTAATCATTGTTTAGAATAAGCAAGGCTAGATAACTTATTTGTTTTACCTTCAGTACTGCAATGTTGCGCTACCTGGCACAGAAATATAACACCCCTGATCACTGGTACCCTTCTGATGAACAAAAGCGTACCTGTGTTGATGAATACCTAGCTTGGGAGCAGACTAATACACGTCCCAATGGTTGCAGAGTCTTCTGGGAAAAGGTAATTTTAAAATGTCTCAGTTTTATTTAATCTTAAATGTATCCCCTGTGTCTTATTATGTTTGTGAGAGCTAGGGATGATAGGATCTGCCTAAGTTTGGTTCGCTGGGGAATATTGAATTATAGAATATTGAATAGACAAGTTCCAAAGATTGTTGCATGTGATGGGTGCGGTTCGCCATGTAACCTATTCTTCGTTCCACCGATTTAGTTTGTTTTGCCTGGGACTCCAACGTGGTGTTAATTTTACCCATATTTTGTTGTATGGTAATGGCAATAATTACAGTAATGTCAGATTTGAGGTGCGAGGCCACCTCCAAAGCCAGTCTCTCAAGAGAGTAGGGAAGCGACTCCCCTCTGAGTATTCAGTTACTGGACACTGATCTCCAAACAGCTAACTCTCCCTGGCGCCCCGGGAGTCTCCTGCTCCCAGCCGCCAAGGAGAGAAACACTGCTGTGTCCTTTTTTTTCTTTATTTTGACACAATCGATGTCAGAATAGAAAAAAAATTCCCATTGAAAAGCATTGGGACATTACTATTGGCAATTTAAATTTGCAATAGCCAATAGTAAACTAGCATTGTACCCGCCCTCTGCTGCAGTTCCCCATCAGGTCCATCAGCAGAGGGCGAGTTTTTTTTCCGGTTAACTCGGCTGCCCTCGGCAGCTTCGTGAATAGACCCCTATGTAATCTCCTCAGCATTTGCCAGTTTGTTAGGAGAATGGTCACTGCCTTGCATGTTGTTTAATGAGTAATTTTATGAGAGTGGCTAGGGCACAAACTTGTCCATGGCCACCTTGGGTTTGCTAGAAGGCATCTGGCAACTTCCACGGTGCACTGAGAGGAGGAGAGAGAGAGAGAGAGAGAGAGGACATTGGGCACATTGGGCTTTGGGAGGGGGACCCACATATTTTATGTAACCCCTCTCAAAGCCTCTCCAATTAAAGCAAACAAGTGGTCTGGTATCAAAATAGCAGGGGGACTGCAAGCTCACTAGATCTGGAGGAGGAGCATGCCATTTTTATTTTTCTGAAACAATACATTTCTGCCAGCAATCACTTTTCATGGTGCTGAAGCATTGTTTATACACAGTTTTAGCACTATGGACATCAATTGCAACATCTAAATAAAGGGATTTGAACAGAAATATAAAAAAACAACCTCTACTGTACTATTATATTCAAATTACATTAACCTCAGCAAACTCCTGTTATGCAAGATTTGCACCTTAGCTGCCTGCATAATAATTACAGTTAATATTGACAGAAACTAAGGGGCAAATACCATTGAATATTTGGATAATATTTTCTGTAAATATCCACTGTGTGATTTTTTCCAATTAATGTTTGATAAATAGACCCCCAATTGTTATTTTTTTCTGTAAAATACCCAATAACAGCCAAAGACAAGATGACATCGATTGAAATGTTTACAGTTCATGAGTGAAGATGACTCTATAATCACTACTATGCCAGGTTTTAACATAAAACAGAACAAATTCACTAGTCTCATTTATACAATGAGGTTGATTTACTCAAGGAGTAGAGACTCTTCTTTTGGCCTAATACACTGTAAAACCATCACCTTCTCTCATGATCTGACTGTACAAAAATATATTCACACTAAATCACTTCTGACAAAATTGACATCAATATTGTTGTGCTTGTTGGCAGTTCCATTGAGGCTTCAAATGATTTGATGTGAAGCAATAAACATTCCACATAGTCCCTGGTGTACTATTTTGAAGCTGTGCAAATAAATGCTAGTATAAATAATGACAGCCTCCAATATATCTCAGTACATAGTGTATGTATAACACCTGACCTCACCAAATGACAAAAATGGACAACTTATATTTTGGGTATGAAAGTAAGCAAAGATAACAGGCTTTATACATTTCCGTTTGATGTGCCTAATGCATTAAAGAATTGATGAGCATGATCTATTTCCTCTATCTGTTTTCATAGAATACTGTAAAAGGTACCACAATGATATATTTGTTCAGGACAAAGCACTTTTTTTTTCCATTTCTCCAACCTACCTGGCCAGATTAGTACAACAGAATATAATGAGCTTCTGCTAAAGAAATCATGTACTGAGAGAAATATTAAAATAGCCATTGCTGACATCCTTCTGAAATTAAAAGCTTATTGACTGTCTCCAGGCTGATCAGGAACCATAATGTAGCAAGTGTGGAGTCTGGCCTCTGGTTTGCCTTTTAATCAACATGAAGTCAGACAACAAGCATTTTGAGAATAAGACGTCATCATTGATAGCCTCTTTATTTCTCTCAGCAGAGGAAATCTTTAAAAACCCATATTAAAGTGTTTCTAACATTAAAATGAAATCTTCCCAAACTCATACCTGTTAATTATCTTTCCTGCTGCCCATGGTGATAAACACTGCTACAATCTGTAGTACTTTATCCCCGTAGTCTGCAGGAAAACCAACACTTCCAGAAGTCTCGGCCCTTATGGTCCCCCACAGCTCTCATTCATTCCTTCTGCTGACAGGTACGTTATTGCTCTCTCTTGTAACGAGTGGAGGTCCGGAGAAGAAGCAAGTGAACAAATGTTGGTTTCCCTGCAGACTACTGAGGAAGAGTGCTACTGATCAGAGCAGTGTTTGGCAGCACAGGCAGTAGTTACACTGTTCTTTTATAGATATAAGTTTTGGAAGATTTCATTTTAATGACTGGCTTGCTTTATAGAGTGTTTCTCTTTCAGTTAAGAGGAAATTTGGTGGTTGGTAGACATAACTGCAGTGTTGACAATGTTTTTAATCTGTCTTGGAGTTCACTGGATAGCGTTAATGCACTGGATTATAAAAAGTTTCAGGAGCTTCTTAGAACTAAATTCATTGGACATAAAATACTAAGTTGATAAGAGATTATTTTTCCCTTGTATGTTTGGTTTTAAAATTACCTTTTTTTCTTTTATAATTAGATTGACTTGCTGCTGCTGGCACTGAATCGTCTTCGATTCATATTAGTAGTGCGTTTTCATCAAATATATATATATATATACAGTCATTGTCAAAAATATTGGCATCCCTGCATTTCTGTCAGATAATGCACCACTTTGCGCAGAAAATTGTTGCAATTACAAATGTTTAGGCATTCTCATGTTTATTTCTTTTGTTTGTATTGGTATGACAAAAAAGTTGAGAAACAAAAGCCAAATCTGACACATTCCACGCAAAACTCCAAAAATACACTGGACACAATTATTGCCACCCTCAATTCATATTTGGTAGCACAGCTCTTGAAAACAATAACTAAAATCAATCACTTCCTGTAACCATCAATGAGTTTCTTACACCTCTCTACAGGAATTTTGAACCACTTTTCTTTTTCGCCAACTGCTCCAGGTCTCGCAGATTGGAAGGGTTCCTTTTCCCAACTGCTGTTTTGAGATCTCTCTACAGGTGCTCTATGGGATTCGTATCTGGACTAATTGCTGGCCAATCCAGTACTCTCCAGCGCTGTCTGAAACCATTTCTTGGTGCTTTTTGACATGTGCTTTGGGTCATTGCCCTGCTGTAAGACCTCTGATGGAGACCGAAACTTTCTGACACTGGGCCCTACATTGCACCCGAGAATTCTTTGGTAGTCTTCAGGTTTCATAATGCCATGCACAGAGTCAAGACATCCAGTGCCTGAAGCAGCAAAGCAACCCCAAAACATCAGTGAACCTTCACCACGTTTAACTGTAGGGACTGTATTTTTTTTTCTTTAAAGGCCTCATTTCTTTTTCTGAAAAACAGTAGAATGATGGGCTTTACCAAAAAGCTGTCATTTTGTTTCGTCTGTACACAGCACATTCTCCCAAAAGGATTTTGGCAACCTCGGGTCAGTTTTGGCAAACTCCACTCTGGCTTTTTTATGTTTCTGTGTCAGCAGTGGGGTCCTCCTGGTTCTCCTACCATAGCGTCCCTTTTCATTCAGATGGCGAGGTATAGTTCGAGCTGACACAGTTATACCCTGTGCCTGAAGGTCAGCTTAAATTTGACGGGGTCTTTATCCACCATTACTTAAAGTTAATTGAGGGTCTTTATCCACCATTCGAACAATCCTTCATTGCAATCTATGATCAATTGTTCTCTTTCATCCATCTCCAGGGAGATTAGCTGCAGTGCCATGGGCTGTAAACTTCTTGACAATGTTGCGCACAGTGGACACAGAAACATTAAGATCTCTGGAGATGGACTTGTAACCTTGAGATTGTCCATGCTTTTCCACAATTTTTGTTCTCAAATCCTCAGACAATTCTTTGCTGTTCTTTCTCTTCTCCATGCCCTGTGTGGCACACAGAGACACACAACAGAAAGGTTGAGTACATTTTTCACCATTTTAACTGGTTGCCGTTGTGATTTCTACAGGTGAAACTCGAATAATTAGAATATTGTGCAAAGTTCATTTATTTCACTAATGCAACTTAAAAGGTGAAACTAATATATGAGATAGACTCATTACATGCAAAGCAAGATAATTCAAGCCGTGATTTGTCATAATTGTGATGATTATGGCTTACAGCTCATCAAAACCCCAAGAACCCCAAATCCACAACCTCAAAAAAGTAGATTATTACATGCATATGTACATGCACAAGCATTACATGTACAAGCATGCATATGTACTCAGTACTTGGTTTGGGCCCCTTTTGCAGCAGTTACTGCAATTACTTTTGCACGATATTCTAATTATTCGAGTTTCACCTGTATATTGTTAGCACCTGTTAATTGATACAGGTGAGTGTAATTACAAATTACAGGAGCATCACAAACTTGGAATGCAATTATTGCTTACAATTTGGAGAAGGTACCAATAATTTTGTCCAGTCCATTTTTGGAGTTTTGCATGGAATGTGTCACGTTTGGCTTTTTTTTCTACAATACAAACAAAATAAATGAACATGAGAATGCCTAAACATTTGTAATTGTAACAATCTTCTGCGTGAAGTGGTGCATTATCTGACAGAAATGCAGGGGTGCCAATATTTTTGTCCATGACTGTGTATGTATATCTATATATAGATATATATACAGTATACACACACTGTAAATACTGTATGTGTGAGTGAGTGTGTGTGTGTGTGTGTGTGTGTGTATAGATCAGTTTATACATCTATTTCAACCAGTCACTTTTTAGTTTGTGGATCGTAAACACATACCAACTGTCTAGTCAGTGTACATCTACATCCAAACTTTCTGTGCATCCAAGGGGGGAAATACATTGGTCCAATCATCAGAAGCACTCATTACTGTGCCCCTGTATGGCTGGATTTCTACTGTCTCATTACTTGTTCTTTTTGGAATATATATGGTCAGCTTTAGCAAATAATTTACATACCTGGATATAATGGACAAATGTGCTTGAACTGGCCTAATAACACCAACCTATAATTTAAACTAATTTAAAGCTATGAATGCATATGATCCTGCTACTGGGAAAAAATACAAAAAAAGTAGTTGTTGTGTTAAATGCAAATCTACTGCCTACAGTGCCAAATAATATAAGTAAACTGTTTTAATATGTCCCAGTAATACATTATGACATTTGTGATTCAGCACATTCCATGGAAGGCTTCACTGTCTGCAAGTGCAGATGCTGATATAGATCTTTTAAATTCCTGGAGGCAAAACTCTCAGTTTATATCTCCTCTACAAACTCTCTGCCATAAGAAGCATTTGTTAGCTGTGCAGACTCTGATAAAGATCTTTAAGCAGATTTGCAATTAGAAAATTAACCCTATCTTATCACCAGCACTAGACCAAGAAACTCTAAACACTGTAAAATTACATTATATATCAGAACAGCTTAAGGCCTTGTTCACACCAAATGCAAAGCAGATCTGCATACGCAGTGCAGTGGGTTGTGCTGCGTTTTTTGCCACATTTTTGATGCGCTTCAGGCCGTTTTTGGTTAAAATTATTTATTTTTTTAGTTTAAAATGGGCTTTCAGTGCGTTCCAGGCGTTTGCATGCGTTTTTTATGCGTCTGCATGCGTTCCAGAGCAGGTCCAGAGCAGGTAAAATAGGGCCTGCTGCAGTTTTTTTACCTGCTCTGGAACTGAACGCTGCGATGTGAACTGGAGCTAAAAATACCATTGGAATACATTGGACGCAGTTTTGCTCCGGTCTGTAACTGCTCTGCAGCTCCGCGCTTGGTGTGAACAAGGCCTTAGAGTCCAATCCTGTCAAATTCTGTCACTTTTAAACAACTACTTATCATTATTATTTTTGTTGTTATTTATTATTATTACGCTTTATTTTATGCAATTAATAGAATTATTTAATGATTTTAAATAGAATGTATAGTCTAGCTCGTCCCAATGTAAGAATTCATATGTCATAGCTGACTGGCCACTGGGTATCCTGTGAAGTTCTGTAGCAGCTGGAGCTACTGCAGTTGAAACAACACCTAACACAATTACTAATACTACGTAGCACACAGGTGTGGTTGCAACACTTACAGTTTTATAGCTACACTTTATCATAATCAAAGATTTGCTTGTTCCAAGCAATATAACCAAGCTGAGATAAACTAACATCAAACAAAATAGCCACAATTAATAACATTAGAAACAAAGTAAATAAAACAGCCCAGACTTGTAGCTCTGTGGAAGCACAGGGGAAAAACACTCACATGAACTAGAAAACAGGAGCACAAAAGTGCACTCACATAGTGTGGTAGTTTAAAAAGCTTTAATGTGAAATGATGCATTAAATGAATGTGCTCACAAAAGGATTTGTTGAGCAGAAACCAAAATGCAAATAAAGGAAGGTTAGTGGCGGAACCGCTCAGATATCCTCAGGATGGAGACACGGTATCAAAAGCTGCGAGAACTGTGTCCAGAGAGCATGCCTTTGTGAAGACACAAGCAACGTGCTGCAGCTGCAGAACTGAACTAATGTCCAGATAAAAATAACAGACATAACAGTAAGTAAGGATATTTTGTCTGACTTTTTAGGTACCACATATATGGTATAACACTACAAAATGAAATGTATTACCATCATAAAATAACAGCTTATGATAGCTCAATGTACAATATTTAAAAAATTGCATATCACATATAATGCAATCCAACTTTCTCATTAAATTTCCTTGTCGTTTCCCATTTTTTGTTTCTTATGGGAACCTGCAATGTTGCTCCTTATACTGTGTAGCCTTATCTGTTACATCATATTTCACCCAGCAAGGTTTGGATAAGAAGGTAATAATTCTTGCTTTCTCACTGCGTTTCACTGTCAATGACCGTTTCCTCAGGAGAGGAGGCTACAATTTTCTAAAATATATAATTTATTATTATATGTACAGTAACATAAACAGTTCAAAAAGCAATATATTTTTTATATATACATATATTACTTATATGGATATCTGCCTCCATATAGGGCTTTAAGTGTCCTGGTACACCTGGGATGTGGATTAGGAGGGGCAAACAAAGTAGCACCTAAAAAGCAAAATAGCAAACCAACATAATAAATGTCTGAGGTATTCATCATCAAACATGTGCATTAAGACTATATTATATGTACCATAGACCTCATCACCTTACTTTGCTTAGTGATACCTCTTTATAACTCCATTAATGGCATAACTTTCTCACAAGAATATATATCCACATCCACAATCAATTTTAAATATAAAAACAGGAGAGGGGAATCAGCTACCCAAATGCAAGGAGAGAGCACTATAAAAATGTAATAATAAATATTAGTATCTATTTAGTTTGAACTCGATGGACTTGTGTCTTTTTTCAACCTGACTATGTAAGAAAACATACCATTGTGATCAAAGGGCAAAAAAAGGCAGTAATATGATGCTACCCATAGCTAATTAGAATTCAAATTCGCACACACTTAACTCTGCAATTTCCCTTGATTTCCAATACCGTGGTGGCACTCAAGTCAATGCACTTGCTTCCCTTTGTCCCACCACGCTGCATGTGCACACAATAATACGTGATGCTATATCTGGTATAGGTAGACACTCGTCCAAACCTTGCTGGATGAAATATATACAAAAGGTTACACAGTATAGGAAGATACTTTGCAGGCTTCCATTAGAAACAAAAATGTGAAATGACAAGAAACTTTAATGAGAAGTTTGGATTGCATTATATGTGATATGCGAGGTTTTTAAGATTGTACATTAAGCTATATTAATCTGTTATTTTATGATATTAACAAAGATTATGTCGTTTTATACCATATATGTTGTACTTAGTTCTAAGGTACCTGAAAGGCCTGACAAAATATCCTTACTTACTGTTATATTTTAACATAAACTCCTTTAAGCTGTTCCTGAATGTCATAATCTTTTCACCTTGTACACATACAGTGAAGAGTACGCTTTTTAAATCTGTAAATTATTTTTTTGTTATATTGCAGAATGTGATTTGTAAGAAAGTGGTTGTATGGTGTTCAGACTAAGGGCTCATTCACACCATAATGTTGTGTTAATTGCATGGTTCCATGCAGGAGGTGTGTTACCATGCATTTGAATGGCACCCCAAGTGCACATACATCCAGAACACGCAGTACCACAATAGCGTGCATTGCAGTGCAGCTAAAAAAAGTGGAGAAAAAGTATATTTAAGGTTTTTATTTGGTATACAGTTTTAATAAAACTTCATTTTTTTTACTAAAGGCCAACAAGTGCACTTTTTTATTAGAATATTCTTTTTTATTTTATAATTGTATCTGCCAATTACAGCATTAAACAGGGGCATACTTCCTTCTTGGGTCTGCAGTGCTATCTACAGGCTAATGGCATATTTTGTGAATTAAGCCTCCAGTCTGCATCAATATATCAGAGATGCCAAAGTGTTCATATTCATCATGCAGGGAAACAATCTACAGATTATGGGTGGTAGGAGTTTAAATACAATAGAGGTTGCTACAATTAGTTAAATCAATTGTATCAATTTCACGTTTGCATCAGCATACTTCATTGGGGTTCTTTGGCAATCTATCCTGCCTGCTACTTTCTTGGTGCATATACATTAATTTCCCCATACCTTCATAGCCCATGTTAAAATCTTAATATAAAATCATGGACCTATTTACATGCTCTAAAACACTAACATCTGGTGCAGCTTTAGCCACAAATTTTCATCATGAAAGTAATAGATTGTTACAATCCTGAACAATTAGTAAGAGGTATTGTGCATCCAGACTGATCATTACCAGGAAAGATTTGCCTCAATCCCATTAGCTAGCAATGACAATGGAACTGAGTACAAGTAAGTATGAAGGCTCTCAGTTCCAACCTTTCATTCCAGTAGCTTCATTACCTTAAAGCTGGCCATACACCTATAGTAAGATAAAAAAAAGTGCAACAGATTCCTCCATCTACACTAAACTGTGGGGATGGAGGAATCTCCCACTGAGCCAAGCTTCAGTATCTTGCTAGTCGGCCCCGCTGGCTGTCAAAATACCAGAACAATCTGATTGGATGCAGACAGATATGCAGATTAGAAATTCTGACTTCACCTAACATTCTTGATCTGCATGAAGTCAGCACCTCAAAGTCTTGAAGCCAACACAGCCAGACACCTACCACTGAGGCACTGATAAGTGGCTGTCTCAATATTTCTCTCAATACAGTTTTCCTTTACTATAGAAAAGGCATCAACATTCTTCACTTTTTGTTATTTATTGAACTATTTTGTGCATAATTATATGAATTTTAGAAAAGAAATAGAAACCTTCTTACCTCTATTTTACAGTGTATGACTCCAGCAATTCTGGGCCATGATGCTGAATTGGATAAACTGAACCATGTCCTTGCTGAGTTCATTGCTGTCATGAAGCATGTGGAGGAGACATTTTTAAAGGACAGACCTTTTCTTGCTGGTGATGAAATCTCACTGGCAGATCTTGTGACTATTGTGGAGATTATGCAGGTGAGATAATGCAAATACAAGTATACTATTAATTGAACCTTTTTTTTTACCAGAAATTACTGAAATCTGGATGCTTAGACCAAATTTAGAATTGGCTTATTACTAATTACACTAATAATGCCAAAATAAATATTATTTGTGCTATTAAATACTTATGTATTACTTATTATTCATTTTTTTATTATTTCAAACATAAAAATTGTTAACCAAGTTTGGTAAAATTTAAAGAGACACTGTCACCAGACCTAACTTTTTAACCTTTCAGCAGTAGAGGATAATAAGCACTTGCATGTTTTTCCATTTTTTAAAATCTTCTTTTTCTTATTTTGTAACCCTTGTAATTTTAGAAGGAATCTGACTCCTTGCTGGAAGTGTCAGTTCCAGCCCCTGTTCCCCTCCCTCTGCTGTAGGCAGACAGCAAGGGCCTACACAGCTACTTCTTAGCAAATGTTACGATTTCAGGCAAGGTTAGAGAGGGAACCATGCTGATTGATGCTGGATCAATAGTTTAGATCAGCAGCTGATGTGCTCCTAGTTCTAAAACAGAATGTAGGTAAACATTCTCTTGGAACAAGGAACTGTGTCTGTAAACATGTACAGTATGTACAAATTATGGGTGTCTATGCATTATAGAGGGAATGCATAGTGGTTTTGCACATATTTTATTTATTTACTATGGCCAGGACTAAAAAAATACATTCAGTAACAAAAATGTTTCCCTTGTTTTATTTAGTCAGGTATATATTAAATATTGCATTCACTGTAAATATTATAATTTGTTATATCTAGCCAGCCAGTGAAGCTTAAGGCTTTGCTTCACATATTTTCTAGTTTCTCCTCGTTAACTCCTGTAAAAAAGCCTCTTGTTCACAAAGCTCAATATTTTAAACTGAAATTCATACCCATGCACACAAAGTTGAAAGAGTCAGAGCAGTGGCTTATTCCCTTTCACCTTGCCCAGAACACATTTATTACAGTGAAATAGTTGGTAAGATGACAGATGCCCAGGCACTATCTATTTGTGTTTAGGGAATACCAATTGCTGGACAGTGCAATGCCTCTACTTAACAACTGCTGTGCATGGGAATTATCTAAAATAAATTTTGACGAAAAAGGTTATTCCTATCCTATCCCATTCCTACTATGTATACCATTTCACCTGTCTTTTCCTCATTATACCACCCTTCCACTTAAACAAGAGCCCTACTTTGAGAATTCCCGACAGGAAGTAAGGGGAAATCTCGCCATTGGGGTCACAGACCACTGTAAAAACCTGACAGGAGTTTTTTTCCCTGCCCTGTTCTATGTAATACAACAATTTGTATTACTAAATATATTTAGAACAAAACTAAATGACAGTAGCTAAATTCCTTACATACAGTTCACCTGGAATAGCACCCTAAAGTGAAACTCTGGCAATGTGATAAAAACCCCATATCTTGACAAAAAATCAAAAGCTCTTTACTTGCCAGTCTTCAACCAGCCATGTTGCAACTGTTCTAGCTGACACCATCACTTGAAACGTGGACCCTACTAGAAGCACCTATCCACATTCCACCTCTGATGAGAAGAATACTGGGACATCAGTTGTCCCAGGACCACAAAGTAACTGCAACTATTTGTTTGTACTATTTGTTTATTATATTTAAAAAAAAAAAAACTACTGCAGATTACTGAAGAATGGGGACAGAGTGAGGAAGTATTTTTGTTTTTCATTTTAATTCTGTTTTCAATAGTAAACATACAAGTGATTCTGTAGTTTTTTTGTTTTGCAGGTAGTAGCAAGTGGGGTGCCTGTTTTTGAGCAGTGTCCAAAACTAGAAGCTTGGAAACAAAGAATAGAGGAAGCACTGGGTCCAGAAGTCTTCAAAGAGGCACATAAAGACATTCTCAATGTCAAGGAACAGCTTGATTCTTTGTCTCCAGAAGTTAAGGAGCAACTTAAAGGAAGACTGCTTCTTTTTACAAAAGGTGGAATGTGGCTCTGCTAAGCAATGAAATATCCACACATTAAGCCAAGGATGACACACAGTGAATTACTACAAAACATTTGTATCTTCAGATAATGTAATCATTTAAAATAAATACTGGCAAAAAGTAGTGTAATTTTCAACAGAATTTGTTGAAAATACGGTAATTTGGCATATAATCAAATGTATTATTACATGCATAGCAATAACAATGTATTCGAATCTACAAGAAGTAAAGCACATCACATTGGTCTAAGTCATCCATTTACTCAATGGATTGCAATAAAGAAATTATTTTCAGTCTTTTCTTTTATGTAGGAGGTTTTGTGTTCTAAGTTTACAGTTTTAGCATACATGTCCATTAAATGAAAATGGTCAAATTGCAGTTAAATACATTCCTCTTTGTATATTAATCCTGCACACACAAGCATCAAACCAGTACACATAAAAAAGCTTGAGATTAAAGCGACATTAAACCCTCAGATTTTGTTTACCATAAAACAATACTGTAATGTGTGCCTTACTGTAATCCATGGTAGTTTCCCTTCTCTTTGCTGCTCTTCCTTTTAAATCCTTATCTCTTTTCATGCTGCAGGAGAACTTCCCTTGTTTTATTTAGTCAGGTGTATATTAAATATTGAATTTTTTGCATATTGCACAGACGTTCTGCCCCGGCATGAGAAGAGATACGGATTTAAAAGGATAAGCAGCAAAGAGAAGGGAAACAACCATGGATTACAGTAAGGCACACATTACAGTATTGTTTTATGTTAAAAAATCTGAGGGTTTAATGTCACTTTAAAGGAGAACTATGAGATGAGTGATTTCCACTCACCTCATAGTTCTAGCCGACCTGTGAGAATAAGACTGTCACATGTCGGCTCAGTAGATCGGGAGGTGAACGAACACATACCAGGTTCGCTCACCTCTCGATCCTGTCACGGCCCTCTGCCGTGACAGGAGGAGGGGCTGGATTCCCCTCTCCCCGCTCCGATCTGCCAGCGCTGACTGGCGGAACGGACGGGGGAGGGGGCGGGTACAGCTGGCTCTGCCTCTAGATAGGCAGAGCCAGCTGTCACTCACGCAGCCAGGCGGATCCGTCATCTACGTCGGGATCCGCTCCGGCTGCGGCGTCTCAGTACAGCTCGCAGTATACTGAGCTTAGGGTAATGGGAGGACGCTAGTTTGTGTCCTCCCGTTACCCTAAGGAGAACTATGGGGAAAAACACTGACCCCATAGTTCTCCTTTAAGGAGCACTTTTGTGATGCCTGGTACAGGAATAAAGCATTGAACCAAATATCTCAATACAAGACTGAAAGAATGTTGGCTTTCTGCTGCACTGTGCCACAATTTACTCGACTTTGCATATTTGGCTGTTTTTGTCATTATTTTCCAGTTCATTTGTACTGCACACATTGTAGGCCTCTGCCAGGCAGGATGCCAACAGAGCAGAACAGAGGACAAAAGTCACATGCTCCAGAGGTGCTTCAGCATCCAGCTTCAAGCACATCCAGTGTCATGGGCCAGTGTCTTCAGACTCAACCTATGCTTGTGGCTGCAGCTGCCACTGATGCTCTGGATTTCCCGGCTGCTGGTGCCCAGCAAGTCTGTTTCACAAATATTATTTTCTTTTTTGCAAACAATGGCATCACTCAGCATGTTTACTGTGTCTCAGTGGGCTCATTGGCACTTGGCGTTCGGCTATTCATTTACTGCATTTGCCCCTATGAGAATAGGGGTGAACAGCAGTGAGTGAACTGCTGGAGGTTCAGCTCTGTCGATCCAGATGTTGGAAAGGCTGAGTCGCACAGCTTCTTCACTTTGGCGTAGCCAAACATGCAGAGTATGTTCGGTTGAGCAAAGCCAGCCGACGTCAGTTATTGTACGGCTGAAATCAGCCGTACGGGTCTGGAGTTATAAGCCGAATGGTGTTCGGCTCAGTTCACTTTAGGTGGGTTATTCACTCGGCTGCCATCGGCAGCTTAGTGAATAACCCCCTATTTTATTTTTACTACATATAGGTTTGCAATTATTATAACTTTTACCTGAAATTCAAATTTCATGAAACCTTCACATATTTACTTGCTGTTCCACATTATGATTACAGCTGAACTGAAGCCATTTAGATGATGCTATTCAATGCAACTCAACTAGCATTTAAAAAAAAAAAAGTCTCAATGCCTATGCTCAATGTCTATGTATGAAACCAGTAAGTATGAGGGCAAAGAACGCCAAATAGTAGTTAGTAGATGGAGGTATGTCAGTATGTCATATGGTCAAATAGCGGTTTGACCATAGACATTTCTGTGATAACTTTCATTTGCTGCCAACAGGGGAAAATGCAAGTGATTTTAAATACAAATTCTTGAAATCCACCGACAATGAACAGAAGAATGGGCATCAGCAATATGAATACAACTTTATTTGGGTGAGTTCATCTGAAACCCCCATTCCAGACAAAATATCCCATTCTGCAAGCTTTTTGGGGCTCTTACTTGCTGAAGCAAGATATATTCACCTATGTCCAGGTCCTTTGCTGCTGCTGCTGTTTACACTGGTCCCCTACCATCACCTCATGCTGGCATCACTCCTCTTCTGGATCCTGAGAGAACATCACCACTGGACAGACTACAGCTGAACTGAAGCCATTTAGATAATGCCATTCAATGCAGATCAGCTAGCATTTTTTATATAAAAGCCTCAATGCCTATGCATTGAGACATTTACAAAATATGCTATCTTGCAACCTCTTTTTGGCTCTTATTTGCTGAAGCAAGATATATTCACCTATGTCCAGGTCCATCACTGCTGCTGCTTTCCACTGGTCCCTTACCATCCCCTTATGCTGACATCATTCCTCTTCTGGATCCTGAGAGAACACCACCATTGGACAGCCAAAAGACACAGGCAGTTATGTGGACACCCGAAGAAGGACCTCACCAGAGTAAACAAAGGAAGGCAGAAGAAGTGGTACAGGAAGAGCACATGACTGTAGCTGTAGGTAAGTAAAATGGGCGTTTAGATTAGGTTTTCTTTTATCTCCAGTGACAGTATTCCTTAGATGGCCTATCACTATACAGTATTTGAAATGCAGATTCTCAATCTAATAGCTATTTGTATATGAGTGAACTTTAAATGCAACTCTATTTATGACTGTGACTGTTGAGATAAACTGAAATGGTAAATGAAATGTACAACTGTACTTTACACAAGGTACGGTGCCTTGACAAGCACAAGGGTAGGGCGTTTGTCAGACTCATGTTGCATAATGGACCAAACAAGCTGTGTCCTTCTTCAAACCGTTGTTTTTTCTGCACATTTGAAGGGATTAATTATCCAGTACGCCCAGCTCCTATACAGGCTGTTCTGTAATTTGAGACCTTTATGTATCACAGTTTTGCATATTGAAAGATATAGGATCACTAAATTAAAAGGGATAATAATACCAAAATTACAAAATGGAGTAGGGAAGGGTCAAAACTCAACATGCCCGATTGGGTAGATTTCCCTTTACTTAATGTCCCGTAGACAGAATAAAACAGTTTTGGTCTTAGTAACAGTGGTCAGCAGGACTAATTGAGAGGTAATTCTCCCTAACTGTTACACAGACAGTAATAAGACTTGACAGTCTTATTAAGCTCCTACAATTCTGAACAAAACAAAAAAATTGGCTTTAGATATACAGTACCTTAGTGCAGGATGTATTTCATGGTACAGATACTACACAGTGTATAGGGAATTAAAACGGAATGTTTTATAATCCACCATTTTATTAGGAGAATTGAAAAAATAGACAGCATTAAAACAGTCTTCTAAGAATTTAAGTTTAGCACAGGGTTGCTTTTCATGACATTTGCCATTTATTTCAAATCAAAATAAATTCATGAAATAAAAATTACTAGCATGTAGATTTGTTTGACGGAAGAGACATACAATGTCTCAACTGCCAGGAAAACATCTTCTCACTTGTACCAACTTTTTGTGTGTGTTTTGTACACTGCATGGTACATGCACAGTGCAAGCTCATTCCTGGCATGGAGTTACATGATCCCAGGTGTTCCTCATCAAGAAGTGGCAAATAAGATGGTGGCAGCAGGGGATGGTGCCATAACTGAAAGTGAAAGCCTACATTTGCCCGCACTGGGGGAGGGCACTCTAGCAGGCAAGTATGCCATAATGTGCAAGTATGCTGTGTATACTTGCACATTACAGCAATAGCTCCCCCTCCCACAACCACCACACACACACAGCAGGCTTTAATTCCCCATTACGTTGGCATGTTTAGTGATACAGTTGCAAGTTCTTCTAACTATGTATAGTTACTAATGTTCTCATTTACATAACGCCTTGAAAATATACCAATTTATATTCACTCAGGAAGTACTGGTTTCATCAATACCTCACTGACCTATTAAATCCCAGTGATCAAAACTTGAGTCTTTTGATTTAAACTTGTATGGAATGTAAAAGGATTTCTGCGCATCAGTTATAACCATCATTAAAACAATAAATAAAAGAAAGGACAAACATATAAACATAGTGCAAGCATATAAATATAGTACATGCAGATTTTCTCCAACCTGTATCAAAATTGACTTAAACCTAGGAATATGTTCATTATCTTTAGCCTCTACTACTTTAAATTGTACTCTCCCCAGTCCCTTGTATAATAGTGGTGCTCTATGTGTAAGTGATGATAGATCTATGAACTAAATACCTGCCTGATGTAGCATTCACAGTAATGATTAATTAGGTTTACACCAACTGTGCAACAGAGTAGGCTAGTACTTTCTGTACACAGAGCTGACCACTGGCTGTGCAGTTGGGAAATCCAACGTGTGTACAACCTAGTTTGGACAATATATTACAGAATACCATCTGTATACAAGAAGGGGGGGAATAGCTGCATTGTGTAACCAGACATAGCTCAGTAAACAATAGATGTTTCTAAAAGATTTCCCCTAGTACTAAAAGTACTACAATTGAACATTAAAAAGTATTGATACATTTTTCTGTGATATCTATTTGA